GCGATAAGGGGAGTTTTGTGGGTGGGGCAGCACACTAGACAGTAAACCGACGAACTGCAGGAAAACACAGAAATTGTTTGGATGTCTCCTGAAAGACTCATCATGCGCTTTCGTGCGACAACAGAAATGAGCGCGGTAGTTAAAAATAAACAAAAAGTAAATCTCAAAGATAAAGGAGGTTAAGTGATGGTTTGAAGTTATAGGAAGTGATTGTTATTGGCAGGGTAATGTCTGCCAGGGGCCGCGAGTGGATGCTAAGATAACGATCTTATGTCGTGATCCACAGTCTGCCGCCAGTTAAGTGGGGTCCTTCTCCATACCGTCGCCGATAACTCAAACCTCGCAGTCAGTCCAGTGATTTGTGTTTATGTGGAGCGGCCGGTTGGTGGCCTAAGAGTCAGACTGCTGATGGCTCTTTCCTGATGTGGCCTCTATGGCACTCGCACCCCGTGGAAGCCGAGTCGCTCCCTTTCTTCTTTTGCTGTCGTGCGAAATCCTAACGAGTAGTAGTAGTAATGGTAGTAGTAGTAGTAGTAGTAGTAGTAGTAGTAGTAGTAGTAGTAGTAGTAGTAGTAGTAGTAGTAGTAGTAGTAGTAGTACGCTTAGGTGCAGTTTTCGTCTTGCCAGCCACCTGCGTCCTCTCCAACTAAATGCAGGTTTGGGGGGAGGAGAGATCGCGATAAATGCTGCGCAACTCTATTAGTAATCTAACCTAATACACGCGCGCAAATTACCGTCCATTCTCTTACCGGTGGATACCGTCGGCAACGAAGGTCAAACTGTTAGTCAATAAGTGCTCTACCCGAACACATTTGGGGGGACGGGGTGATTCAGTGTGTTTGTCAAGAGACTGCGGGCAGTAAAACCATGGTAAAAGCAATTCGTGTAGTCCTCACCTCACGAGAATTTCACCATAGTAGCAGTCGAAGTTATGGCCGAATTTCGTTGAAAGAGCTGTAAGTGAAAGCTAGGCATCATTCTTTCTCACTACTGCTGCCTGTTCGAACATCCGAATCAATAGTCATCCCTCAATTTCTCCGAGCTAGCTCCCTTGACCGCAAATGAACCCGTATCAGCGAACGGCCCCAGGCCATCTCTGCTGTACCCACGCGTACTTCAGCCTCCGGTACGTGTGAGACCCCAACGCCTAGTGGGCAGCAGATGGACTCCAGCATATTCCTGGTGCGAAACTTGGATCCGAAAGGTTTGGCCTCTCGTCTCGTGTTTGTAAGCACTCGCTGACGAAATTCCTGTCTATGATGATGGTTCTGTGATTACATTCCAAAAAGGACGAAGAAAATTCTTTTTTTATATTAAGAGTCTTCTTCTCCGCTTTTTCACTTGTCCAGCGCGTTTGTGTCTACTTGATGGGAGGGAATCTCTGTATGTTCGCAGATCCGGTCCTAATAATTGCGTTTTCATCCGTCCTACTTTGAGCTCATTTTTACTGCTGAGTAACGCTCAAGTATGGCTTAAGTTGAAGAACCAGGGGCGTTAGTGTTGGATGCGGGCGGCCAAACACGTATTGGCAGACTAATCCCCAGCGCTCGCAGTGTCCACAAAACACTCCTGGGAGGACGGTTTTAAAAAAATCAAATGACCAAACTTTTACCAAACTAACAACCAACACTTCGATGAAGTCTTGGCCATTACGATCACTCATGCGGGCTATCCTCTAAAAATCTGATTTTGGCAGTTGCGTGGCGGCGTAATTGTCGCATCACGTCAGTGTCGCAAGCATGCAACTCCCAGTCGCAACGCTGCTGAAAAAAACTTGGCATGTTAAGACATGCATACAGTAGGTGGGCTAATTCATGAAATGTCAACCGAAATTTTGAAATGTGTTTTCGATTCTAAAATATTAATTAAGTAGGGTTCTAAAACTAATCAGCCTGCATCATAATTCTATCATAATTCAGTTACCTTAGGATGCCGGTTTTCGAATGAACTCCCTTCTGGCTGCATGCAAAAACTATCCTCTGAAAAAAACGACAACTTAATTAGCATGCATTTTTCTCATTGATTTTCGATGCCCCTAAAAGTCCAATTATATTTCATGGAAAACCTGCATAAAATATTCCTTCTTTCGCTCAATCGGTAGACAATTACGTCTTCTTCTAATTTTTTAATCGAAGGAGGGACATAATTTGGTTTGAAAAAGTTTCTAATTGTAGGACTTTTAAATACCGTGAAATGACCGTTTACAAATCGTCATGTCTCTGCATTTACAAATGTGGCTTGTAAAGTTAACAATATGGATCAAATCGAATGCTAAATTTTGCGAACCCTACATGGTCCTCCTTTATTACCATAAAAAAATGAATGGTTTTCCGTACTCGGAAAATGTACGGCTTGTAGTTTGGAAACCCTGAATCCAAGTGTAACGGTAGAGCGGGTTCACAACTATTCGGGCATTCGAATAGTTTCTGAAAATCGAATTATACCCTTTCTTCGAGAATAAAGTTGAAAGAGGACCTAATTTTCTACCAAATGAGCGAAAGAATGAATATTTTAATGCATGTTTTCAATGAAATATAATTGGACTTTTGGGGACATCGAAAATAATTAAGAAACATTCGTGCCACTTTAGTAGCCGTTTTACAGAGTGTAGTTTTTTTGCATGCAGCACGAAGGAAGTTCACTCGAAAGCCGGCATCCTGAGCTAACTAAAATATTATACAACTACGTTGCAGGCTGGCTATTTTTACAACCTTACTTCATTAATCTTTTCGAAACGAAAGCGTATTTCGGATTTTAGGGTGACATTTCAGGAATTAGCCCACCTACTGTAGGTTCCGAGAGGCCGCACACCGAAGTCTGCGTCGGATCTTATTTCGTAGCCGTAACTGCGGTAGACAAGCCCCACCCTAACCCCTAGTCTAAACCTCTGAGCCCTAACTCCTAGCCCTAACCCCAAACCATAACCCCTAACCATAGCACCTAACTCCAACCCGTAACCCTAACATCTAACTCCAACCCCTAACCCTAAACTCTAACCCCTGCCCTCTAGCCCTAACCCCTAACAGGTGCGGCTACGAAATAGGATCTTGCTGAAGTCTGTACAGTATAATTCAGAATGGTGAAAGACGTTGACTATGGGAGCATTAATCATTGAGATCACGTCAGCCATCAAGTCCATTGTTCAGCTCACTGGTGTGCTGCATGACCTCTAAAAAGTTGACATATCTTAATGTGCTTTGTTTGCAAACGGAAGAAGTCGTCTGCTTGCTTGTTCGTGCTGTTTGTGGCGCCATTCGATTCCTTTGTTTCCCGAGTTAACCACTACAGTTCCAAGGGACGCATTCGTATGAAAGGATAAACGGAAGGTGTGCTCAAAAATCCAGAAAGGTTCCGGCGGCATTGAGCTTGCTTTGTATTCAAACAGACTCTTCACAAACGCTGATGTCAAACAAGCCCTCACTGGCTACTTAGTGTAGGACGTAGATCCCCGATGGTGACGTCGGGAGGTTGGTGCCGGCTTCAGATGCGTAAATTATTCGTGACTGCAAAGGTCACGGCCTACTGATGAGTGGTAGCTGTCTACGTCTTTCTTCCTACCCCGACTTGATCCTCCAGGCAAAATAAACAGATTCCGTTGTCTCAAGACACACTGGCCACCCGTAACGGAAGATCTGACATCAACCTCAATGAGGCTGTAGAACACTGTTCTTATGACAGCAGAAGTTACGTATCATAATAATGCTTTTCGAGTATTCGAAACAGTTCTTAGCTACCGACGACAGAGAGCACCTAACCAGACGGTCGAAGCTCTAAAAAGGAGGAGGTTTTTATGAAAACAGTGACCCTGATCTTGGATTTGGCTCATAGAGAGTTGAGGGTCTCAGTGGGCGAACACGGCCCTCCTTCCATATTACACAAATGTCGTCATAAATAGAGTTGATAACATTATCGTTCGCATGCTAGAGTCTCCTGCTAGTAAGCGTATGTCGTGCAGTTGACCGGTGGTTTTTAAGTACCTTTAATTGTCTCCGATTCTTGTAATGTTATCACCCGACAGTAGTTTTTTGATAATTTACACGTCCTAGATATCTCCGTCTAGCTCCTTTCACCTGTTTGCCGAACTGTTAATTTGAGACAAAATCAGCTGCATCAGAATAGCACGACCCCTATAGATGAAGTGGATTCGAGTTCTAGGCCGAGGTGTCTTTTACTCCAAATGGCCAGATCCAAGGGCAAATATCGACTCGATGGTTGATAAGTGTCAACTCGGCTAAAGCAAGAACTCTGATTTGCCAATTGAAGCAGGCAGGCCGTCTATAGCTTCTCTCTTTACATGGCTGAGAATAAATGAATTAAGAGTTCAGAAATCGCAAGGTGAAGGAAGTCCTTTTTGCGACGCCGTATCCTACGTTCCCTTCTTCAACTAATTGTTTTTTCCAGCTCAGGCTTAATCATAAAATAAAGCGTCTTTTTTATTACTGGAAATATTTTGAACACCCTAATGTATCAGACGAATACCTTTATTTCGATTCGCCGTTTCTGAGTAGTCATGAACCGATCAGTTGCAGTGAAATGGATTTTCAAACCCTGTATATAAAGCTTGTTTTTCAGCAATAAAGGAGCCTTTTCGGAAAAATCATTAATCAGCTGATTAAGTTGAAAGCGTGCAAGATAGCTGCGTTGTCATGCTTATTACTGATTGACCATGTGGGCAAGCACGTGGCCGTCATAGGTAGTGATTACCTAGCATTGAGTAGGTGTGCTAGCTCATAAAATGTTAACAAAAATTCTGAAATGCGTTTGAGACTCGAAAAAGATTTTTTAGGTAGGGCTGGGCTACTAATCATCATGCAGCATAATCTTGTAATAATTTAGTTACTTCAGGGTGCCAGCTTTTGAGTGAACTTCTTTCTGGCCGCCTGCTAAAACCACGGTCTGTAAAAAATGACTACTTAAAAGGCATGAACTGTTCTAATGGATTTTCCATGCGTCACTATATTCTAATGGGGTGTAGTGGGTGTCAGCGGTGGGTTCACGTGATGGTCGTAGTGGTCGCTCACTTGCTTGCAGGTGAGACTACGCCTAGCGTCCATTTGCTAGCACCCAACTCTCCCCTGTGGCTACACGTAGCTGGGTTCTGCTCAGCGGCCACACCCCGGGCAACCGTCTCGACCGGCGGGCTAAACCAGGTGAGGGGGCCCTGTGCGCTGTGCCGTGTGCACATGGTTTGCGGATTCCGCTGGATGGAAGGTCGGATGGTACCTTGCGTCGGCACCGTTGTGACGTGGTTCGTCTCTGCACGCCGCTGGACAGCTGGTGACGGGATGGATCTCTACATCGATATCGCCTTGACGCGCCCACCTACGCCGTCGGAGACCGCGGCTTACGGCGAATTCGAGTCGCTCTCCACTAAAACCCTAAGTCTTGGTCCCATAGTGGAGTTCGGCCGTGCCACAACGGCACATGGCAGCCATATTCAGGGATGGCAATGCCAGCCCCCACGAGGGGAAGGGCCTAGAAAAGGTGGCCTAAACATTGCTGGGTACCACGCCGTCTCCAGGCTAGCCAGGGCCGCAGACGTCCAATCATGGTCGAAACAATCAAAATCGAAACAACAACAATACCAATAACAACAACAACCATATTCATTCTCCTCATCCTACCTCCTCCTCTGCCTATTCTTTTGCCCATTCTTCTCCTTCGTCACCTTCTTCTCCATCTCCCTCCCGTCGCCCCACTCGTAGTCACCAGACTGGCAGGGTGAGTCCGCTCACTCTGGCAGCCTGGAATGTTCGTTCCCTTTTAGACAATCCGAGGAGCAACCGACCGGAACGGAGGACAGCGTTAGTGGCACGAGAACTGGCGCGCTACAAGGTGGACATCGCCGCACTCAGCGAGACCCGTTTCTCCGAACAAGGCCAACTGGAAGAGGTGGGAGCCGGTTACACCTTCTTCTGGAGTGGTCGACCCAGGGCAGAGCGACGAGACGCGGGTGTCGCCTTCACTATCCGGAACGACATCGTAAGACGACTGCCCAGTCTGCCGCAGGGCATCAACGATCGCCTGATGAGCCTCCGCCTGCCTCTCTGGGGAGGCAAATTCGCCACCATCAGCGCCTACGCTCCGACGATGACCAACCCCGACGCAACCGCCACAAGAGACAAATTCTACGAGGACCTGCACGCCCTCTTGGCGACTGTGTCGAAGACGGTCAATGCCTGGAGCACCAACCTACACCCACCGCACTCGCCTCCACTGCCCACACTGCCCTCGCACCTTCACGCATCGCATAGGTCTATTAGTCCACATGCGCATCCACGAGAGCGGAATTGACCACAATTCCGACACGCCAACCACGCCCATCATGCCCAGCACCACCCTCGCACCGTCCATCTGCGCCACCACCAACGCCTCCTTTGTAGCTGATTCTGACGCCGCCGACTTCACATGCCCACACTGTCCACGCACATTCACCTCACGCATCGGCCTGGTCGGTCACTTGCGAATCCATCGCACAGAGACCGGAGGACCAGTGCCTGGAGCACCAACCTACACCCACCAAGCTCGTCTCAACTGCCCACACTGTCCTCGCACTTTCAGGCACCGCATGGGCCTATTCGGCCACATGCGCATCCACGACGACCTGCGGTAGACAACCGCCGGTCACACCACACATTCCTCACTCCCTACCTCCTAACACCATCACCCCACCAGACGTCAACCCTCACACACCTCATGCACTCAACTGCCGCCTCCCACGCAAGTGGGAAGTGTGCATCTCGACTCGGTCCCCATGCGGCTTCGGCTGCACGGGTGACTTGTGTCCGAGACTATCCCGACACGTCAAGCGTCGTGGATAGGAAGGTTGCTGATTGAGGCCCGCTCTCGGTTCACGCAGTTCGTCACGTTGTGTGTGTGTGTGTGTGTTGTGTGTAGTGGCGGACTGATGGGCTGGGGACGGTCTGCAACAGCACCTTCCACGGCCCTCTCACGCAAGTGGGAGACACGCCGTTCAACCCCCGTTGGGTGAAATCCTGGTGTTTGTGTGTGTATGGGGGGCCAGGTCGTGCTGTGGCGCGCGCAGTCACGGTCAGTCGACCGTGGCAGCCACCGCGCCCGTTCCCCACTCCAGGTTGCCGACCGGCTCGGACGGCGACTGGGGTATGGGAATGGGAAGGGAGAGTGAGGTCGACGACTCAGCGCACTTTCCTCACTATAATTAATCTGACGCGCTTGAAGCTATCACGGTGCGCCAGAAGCCGTGGCTTGGAAGGTTGCCAACTGACGGGGGAACTTGGTCCTCCTCCTTAACTGGAGGCGGTCTGAGAGTCAGGCTGCAATGGCTCCTTTTTAATGTGGCCTTTATGGCACTCCCACCACAGTGTGGGATCCGAGCCAGGCGTTGGCGGCACGCCTAGGTGCGGCTTCGGCCGTGCCAGCCACCAAATCTCTGTTGTGTTGGTTGAAATCCTGGTTATTTGTTGTGTGGACCAGGTGGTGTGGTGGAACGCCAAGGTGAGGATCCGTCCGAGCCATCCACCTGCGGCCTCCCTCGTCTCCGGTCTTCTTGACTCTGTCTTGACACCGGGCTCGGGCGAGGGAGGAGGAGAGAGTGTAGGTAGATGCTGCGCAAGTCACCGTCCCTGCTCCAACCTGCTGTGGGGCACACTGTGGACATCATCGAAATCGATGGTCGAACTGTCACATACAAATGAAAAACTGATAAAAAGCATGCACAAAAATACTCAGTCTTCTAATCATTTGGTAGAAAGTAGCGTCTTTTTTAAAATTTTATGCTTGAAGGGAGGGCATACTTCTGTTTTTAAAAACTTTCCTAATTCCCGAATAATTTTGAACCCGACTCGCCGTTACACTTGCATCCAGGATTTCCAAATTACAAGTTATATATTTTCTGTGTATGAAAAACCATACATTTCTCTACGGTATTAGTAGGAGACTATATGGTGTTCTTAAAATTTGGTAGTGGATTTGGGCCTTATTATAAAGATTTCGAGCAACATTAGTAAATGCAGAGGCATGAGAATTTATGAGCGCGCCTTTTACGGTCTTAAAAAATCTCGTAATCATGAACTATTTGGAACCGAGCTATACCCTTTCCTCAAGTATAAGATTTTAGGAGGACATACTTTTTCTACGAAATGAGTAGAAGGATGAATTTTTATGCATGCTTTCTCTAAGAACAGTATCGAAAAGCAATGAGAAAGATTCACGCTACTTAGGTAATCACTTTTTACAGAGTGTAGATTTCGCAGGCGGCCGAAAAGAAGTTCGTTCAAGAGCCGGAATCCCGAAGTAACTAAAATATCTTCGGAATATACTGCACGGTGATTAGTATTACAATCCTAAATAAGTAATCTTTTCGAGTAGCAAACGCATCTCAGAATATCAGTGGACATTTCATGAGTTAGCACACCTAATGTATTTCATCCTCCAGATCTGCTGTGCTAGCCACATCTAAAGCAGCTGCGGTAATTTGAAAACTGCTGACAAAATTCAACTAATTCTTTATTTTAGATGGGTGAATGCGCTAACAGAACCAGAACGATCGGTTCGAGAGCATTTTCAGTGAAAATACGCATTCTACTAGGGTTAGTTAATCCACTCCGGGAAAAAGCATTTTAAACTAGCGAACCATCAACGACGATCTTCCCTAGCATCTGAGTCTTCTTCCATTTTATTTAATGGATATTATGTGAATCCCATCGAGCAATAACCATTTCTCTCACCGTTTGGTATGTCAACTTTCTAACGTTTAATCTTAGACACTGGCATGCCGCTTCCCTCCGCCGGTCAGCGTTGCCTAACGCTGAACTGTCCGAGTTTTATTTGATTACTAGGGTATTACTGTCGTTCTGTGTAACATTTTCCCTTAGGCCTGCTCATGAAATGTCGACCGAAATTACTAAATGGGTTTTCGTTTCGAAAAGATTAATTACGTAGGGCTCTAAAACTAATCAGCCTGCATCATAATTCTATCATAATTCAGTTACCTTAGATTGCCAGTTTTCGAATGAACTTCCTTCTGGCTGCATGCAAAAACTATCCTCTGAAAAAACGACCACTTAATTAGCATGCATTTTTCTCATTGATTTTCGATGCCCCTAAAAGTCCAATTATATTACATGGAGAATATGAATAAAAATGTTCATTGTTTTGCTCATTCGGTAGCATATTACGTCTCCTTCCAACTTTATACTCGAAGGAAGGGTAATATTCGGTTTTCAAAATCATTTCCAATTCCCGAATAATTTTGGACCCGCCAACCGCAACACTTCGATTCAGGGTTTCCAAACTACGAACCGCATATTTTAGGCACATGGAAAACCATATATTAGGAGGACACTACATGTGGTTCATAAAATTAAGCGGCAAATTTCATCCATATTGTCAATTTTACAGGCCACATTGGTAAATGTAGAGGCATGAGGCTTTATGAATGACCATTTCACGGTATTTAAAACTCTCACTATTTGAAACTTTTTCAAACCGAATTATATCCCTCCTTCGATTATAAAATTAGAAAAAGACGTAATTGTCTACGGAATGAACGAAAGAAGGAATATTTTATGCAGGTTTTCCATGAAATATAATTTGATTTTTAGAGGCATCGAAAATCAATGAGAAAAATTCGTAATACTTAAGTAGTCGTTTTGTAAAGAGTGTAGTTTTTGCATGCAACCGAAAAGAAGTTCATTCGAAAGCCGGCATCCTGTGATAATGGAATTATGATTGAAATATGCGAAAGGCTGATTAGTTTTAGAACCCTATTTAATTAATCTTTTCGAATCGAAAACACATTTCAGAATTTCGGTTGACATTTCATGAGTTGGCCCACCTACTGTATGTGCGTGTTGGCGGAGTGAATTCGCGATTAGATCGACCAAAACTTCCTTGGGCAAATAATTAAGCAGGAAATTGTAAATTAACTTCATAACTGCTGTTGCCATCGCTCACGCGCCAAACGCCGCACAATACGCCACCGCTTTAATCGCTCTCATCCATCAAGCCTGCTCCACCGGATGAGACGTCACGCCACTAGCGGCGAGGTTTGCTTCTGCAGGCCAACTTGATTGATACTATAAGGTTGGCTTGCCAAAATAATTTTAGTTAGTATTCCTAACTCAGCCACTCGCTAGATTAGAAAGAGAAATCGGGCGCAAGCAAAAATCGGAGCACGCACAGGGAAGCAAGTGAAGGTGGTGTGTTAACACTACGCCTCCCTAAGATCAGGCTTACAGATCCCCACCTCCCAGTCTCCCCCCCTCCTGCCCGAACGCTGCTTATTGCGGTGAGCCAAAAGTGGGTCAATTTTTCACCCATAAAATGTGTTGGGCGAGCCCTGCGTGAGTCCTTTATTTCTGCCGCATGTTCGCGTGTGGCACACATGCATACGGAGCACTTCCGCCAGGGAGAGCATTGAGTTTGGTCTCATTACCCGTCGGCGGAAATACCTAGACGATGCGCCAGCGCGTAGGAGAGAGAGAGAGAGAGAACCATTTTAGCTCCTCTCGAATCTACGCCTCTCAAAGTTCATGTGATCATGGTTCCCGGGGGTCAGAAACATGAGCACATTCAACCACAAGAATAGCCGATCACAGACGCTCAGAAACTCGTTTGTTGACCAATAACCTTGTTCTTGTCAGAAGCTTTTCTCTCGTTTTAAATCATTCTAGATAAAATAACTAATGAACCATATCATACGATCAGTTACTCAATGACTCATAGGTTTAAATACGAACTAGCGTAAAAGTCATGCGTGTTTTTAGTAAATTCCAATGATCCTTTTGACCTAATTGTGAAAATGTTGGCGGTCTCGATGGGGTCCGAACGCACGACCGCATGGACAAGACCTGGGCACGGACGATATGAGTAGTGGGAGGTGGAATTCTCGCATTAGTGTTTGGGAGTACAGACATAAGTGCCCGGGAGGGGTGATATTCACTGTGGTTTGTTGGTGTCGGAGGCGAAGGGGAGAGTTTGAGAGTTTTAGTTTTGGCATGCTCCGTCGGGGGAAGGTGGTGTTTCGTTGAGATTGTACATGTCCGAACCTGCATCGGCAGCTGTGGTTTTTAAGACCGGCATCCTTCAGTGGACCGGGATTACATACCCAACTAGTGGACGTCTAGGTTAAAATGGTGGTTTACGCTGTCCGCAATGGAATATCATGCCTCAAGGAATTCGCATGCCTAGACACGGCGAACATTTGAAGCAGTGGTCGCAAAGGAGGGTTTGCAAACACGAGAGACAAGGGTTCACCGTGGCGTATAGCCCGTTTTTGTTCATTAATCCGGGTCCCAAGTTATCGGACCCGCGCGGTCGATGCAAGCACAAGTGCAATTACAAAGCTCATGAGATGCGGAAAGGTAAGTTAGTTTACTTTTCCTTTGGTATGGGGTCCCTTACTCGGGACAGTTCTGCGATCAAGGACAGCGGCGGCTTGTAGACACCGCAGGTATTAGACCTGTTCACTTGCCGGACGATAGCTTTAGGAATTCTTTGCATGGATGGCAAGTAGTAGAATTTTCACTGCACCATTTTCCCATTAGAACTCTAATTTTGTGATTAAATCCAGTGTTATGTACAAGTTTTCGCGGCGAGGTTTGGCTCCGCCGTCCCACCTGAGTGACATCA